GCAATTTCTTAAATACTACATGAGAAGCAGAAGCTGTTTTTTAAAACTGAATAAATTGGATTTTGTCTCATTTAAAAGAACATTTTCTCTTCAAAAGATGTGAATAAAGTTTTAACTTTCTTAGACATGAAAAATAAATCCATAGACAAGAAAAAAATATTCACAAAACATACAACAAGGACCTATATCTAGAATGAATGTGTTAAATTAATTAAACAAAGAGACCATTAGGCTAAGGTGACTTTAGTTCTTCAGGAGGTTCCTTATCGAAGCAAAACCAAAACCTCTAATGCCTCAAGGTTAAGAAGCAAACCAAAGGACTCACTCACAAACAGCCAATCAGATTTTCCCAAATAATACAACCACTCAAGCTAGAGCCAATCAACTTATTTCCTTCCTTTGCTTCCACCTTTTCTCTGTAACGGCAATCCACTCCAGTACTATTACCTGGAAAATCCCATGGACAGGGGAGCCTGGTAGGCTACAGTCCATGGGGTCACAAAGAGTCAGACACGACTGAGCACCTTCACTCACTTCTCTGTAAAAGTCCTTCCTCGAACTAATGTGGGCAGAGCACTCTTAACCACTTTGGGTTTGGCACTGCCAGATTTTAACAGATTTTTGCTCAAATAAACTGTCAAAAATTTAATATGCTTCATTTTATCTTTTAACATGAGGAACTCTAACATCGCTATAATAACACAAACAACCCACTAAGAAAACGGGCAAAAGATTTAAACAGGCACTTCACCAAAGAGGATACACATGAAAAGATGCTCAACATCATATATTATCAGGGAAATGCAAATTAAAATCAAAATAAGATGCTGCTATTTACCCACTCAAATGACTAAAATCAAAAGGGCTGTGCATGCCAAGGGCTGGTGGGGTAATTTGAGTTCCAAACTGGAACACAGTTTGGCAGTTCCTTAAAAAGTGAAACCTACACTTACAATATGACCCAGCCATTTCACTCATAGGTTTTTATCCAAGAAAAACAGAGACATATGTCCACAAAAAGACTTACACCAGAATGTTCATAATAGCTTTATTTGCAACATTCAAATGCTGGAAATAACCCAAACGTCCATTAACAGGTGAATGAATAAGAAAATTATGGTATATCCATATAATGGAATACTACTCAGCAATAGAAAGGAATGAATGTAGATACATGCAATAAAATGAATGAATATCTAGATAATCATACTGAATTTTAAATAAAGACAAAAAGAGTGCATGCTTCATGATTCTATTTATACAAAATTCTAAAAAATGCAAACTAATCTACAGTGACAGAATCAGGTTGCCTGAAGATAGGGGGTGAAAGGAAGAGTGATGGACATGTAGACATGCTTGCTATCTTGCTTAATATCTTGTGGTGATGGTCTCACAGACATAAACATAAGTCAAAACCTAGCAAACTGCACAGTTTAACATGTCCCTTTCATTGCATGCCAATTATCCTTCAGTAAAGCTGTGAGTTTAATCTCAAGAGTGCAAGGTTGATTTAACATTTGAAAATCAATTCATGTAATTCATCACATTGACATAATAAAGGAGAAAACCATATAATCATCTCAATAGAGGCAGAAAACAGAAATAATTTGTCTTCAGAGAAATAACAAGAAAGCATCCCACAATTCAAAGTCATGAGCTTCCAGGTTGAAAGGGCCCACGGAGTATAAAGCAGAATGGATGAAAAAACACAGCTCATTCTAAGGCACATTACTGTAAAAGAAATGAGAAAGGAAAAAGAGAACATCCTCAAAGCTCCTAAGAAGAACCAAAAGAGAGTCACATATAAAAGACAAAGAATCGGAATGGATTTGGGGTTTCTCAGTAGTAACTGGAAGCTGAAAGATAAGAGAATGGTACTATGCAACTCTGAGTAAACATTCCTTTGCAACCTAAAATAACTCTTATCGAGTCAAATTCTCAGTCACATGTATGACAGGAAAATAAAAACACTCTCATCTATTCTAACAAATACACTCCTTCTACCCTTTCTTAAAAATATACTGATTTTTTTTTTCATCAGAACAAGAGAATACAACCAGAAAGATAAAAATATGTCAGTCAGGAGAGGAGAGAGAGGCAAGAAGAATTCCCAAGACAAGAGCTGTGCACTAGACCTAGAATACAACCATACTAGTTTATAGAAGATAGAGGTACTAGTTTTGATTTTTTTTTAATTGAATTAAAAGATTGATTTAAAAATATATATATGAGATTTAGAGTTCACTCGGAATTTGGAGTTGAACTAATGATAGATGTACAGGAAACTAAGCATATGAAAAAGGCAATTTTTCACTCCGAGTTAAGAGAGGAAGTATTTTTTTTTAAAAACTCCATGATTCAGCAACAAAGAGTATTTACTCAGTTATACTCGTATGTATGTATCCTCCTCCTCTGCCTCGCTCAGTCCTGGCCGACTCTTTCTGACCCCATGGACTGTAGCCCACCAGGCTCCTCTGTCCATGGGATTCTCCAGGCAAGAATACTGGAGTGGGTAGCCATTCTCTTTTCCAGGGGATCTTCCCCACCCAGGGATCAAGCCCAGCACTCTCGCATTGGACACAGATTCTTTACCATTTGAACCACCAGGAAGCCCAGTATGTATACATAAGATTGATTTAACGAAAAATTGGTGACAAGAGGGAAGGCCAAATGGGAGTATTTGAGATGATGCGAAAGAATTAAATCTTCTCTTCCATAATAGATAACAAACAAAATTGCTTTTTTAAATAATCAAAGAAACAGCAATATAAAAGTGTTATTTAGGAAACTGTATATACCTGCCAAAAAATAACTAAAAACAGTAGATGTGGCTGCCTCTGTGGAACAGGGAGAGATAAGTCAGGGGCTGCTGTATGTATTTTTTGTTAAGTCTCCTATTATTTTAAAAGTATGATTTGACTCTCTTTGCAGTCATAATTTTACAGCTTCTATTTCATTAAACTGGTTATAGTCACAAGGACAAGCATGAACAGGTTTGAAAGCAAATATAACTGATCCTTGGCAATGAATTAAGTAGAAGTAGAGATAAGAGGACTTGCTAGAGAGAGGCCGACCAGCCGTAGGGACACTGCATGCCAAGGGTGTTTGGTCACCATGTTTTACAGAAGGAATACAGAACATTGGTAACATAGCAAGTCATTTAAACTGAGGTCAATGAAAAGAGCTTCTACTGCAATGAATACAGATAATAAAGGAGGCTGAAATAAAACAGCTTTAATCCATCCATTATTGCTACCCCATCCTTTTCCGTGGGTTAGATGGAGAAAATTCTATGAGGAGATCAAGATCATCTTTCTCAGGGTCATTCAGTTTCCCCTGAAATATTAACCCTCTTGAGGGAAATCTGAAAGTGAGGGTAAATTAGAGTCCTTTCGAAGGGGAGGCTATCTTATATATTTTTTTGGCTTAATCCACAAAATGAGTTAGAAAGATGACAAAGGAGATAATAAAGCAGAATCTGCCTTTTGCACCAAGACAGGCCTGATTTCATTTCAATAATGAAATAAAATTATTACTGCTTATCTTCTCCTTTGCATTTTGGGTGAGGACTCAACACTATCCATATAAGCACTGAAAGAGAAAAAAAAGCACTCAGGAGTTCAAAACAGGACCCGAGACATCCTATATCCACGCTAAGTAGGGTTGTAGCAAATCTCTGAGATTCAAAGTTTATTTTGCCCAGTCAATGAAGCCTCAAGGTTCTGAGTATTTTGAATAGCTAATTATTAGAAGAGTTAGAAAGGCTATATAGAGCCACCTTTCAACAAATCAACTGATTGCTGATCCCTCTGCTGTGCTATTTTGGGCAATGGTCTGCAGACATATCACCTGGTAAGGTAAATCTGGTTCTTGCCCTTCCCTGGACTCAATCCTGGAGCACCTAGAAAGATCAGATCCACCTCCCTCCCTCGTTTGCTGAGCCCACAGAATTGTGACAGCACTTCTTGATAGGGAATTGTCAGATCTGCTTTGCCACTAAAACTAGAAAACTAAGCAGGGTAGAATGAGGCTTTGAGCAAGGACAGATCCATTATATGATTTAATAATACTTTTCTACATGTATATTCAGCTAAGGGGCATTTTGGAGCTCCTGTAACCTATGCAAATCAACTCAAAACAAGTATTCTCTTTACTGCTTTTTTCAGAAGCCTGTAGGCTACTTTCTTCCTTGGTGTCAGTAACCACAGACTATGACTCAGGTCCAGTCATATGCATGCCTGGTTGGTTAAGTTTCATAAAGAATTCCTCCTAGAGGGTGGGAGGGAGGCCCAAGAGGGAAGGGATATATATACATATAGTTGATTCATTCTGCTATACAGCAGAAACGAACACAATATTGTAAAGTGATTATATGCCAACAAAAAATAAATGAAAAAAAAAAAAAGAATTGCTTTCTATTACATGATGACCTCTTTATTATCTGGGCCCCAACTGTGGCCATTAGCCAGGCTCTGAGCTTGTTGCAAGTCTGTCAATACTCCTTTTTTAACTTTTTATTGTTTATAGGAGCACAACTGATTAACAATGTTGTGACAGTTTCAGGTGGACAGCAAAGGAATTCAGCCATGCATGTTGTCAACACTGTTTCTTGATGGGACTGAACGGTTCATTTTAGATGGGAAACCCTGGTTTGTTTTTTTTTTAACCATCATTGTTTGAACACAAAAGAAGCCTGTGATACTCACCCTCCTGTCTGACTTCAGATCACCTAATTCTGTACATTGTAGGACACAGATGAGCAACAGAAGTGACCTGCATTTACACTATTTTACAATCATTCCATTCACCTCATATGCCCTGGATGTCCTCCTTCATCTTACTTTTCACTTCCTCCGCAGTCCCTGCCTTCCCAGCAATGATGTTGAGCTTCGTTACATAATGGGGAAGACTGCTGAGTTACTGGATGCTTTAAAAAAATTTTTTTTTAACTGGAATCCACAGCTCCTCAAGCCCTGTTAAGTGAGGGGCCCCAGAGGTACCTCAGTGTCAGGGTTGTTGCCATTTAGAGCCTCCATGTTTGGGTCCCTCCAGTCTTCTGAGAGTGAAGGGATGTAATTGTCTGTCAGAGCATCCCAAACCCTGTAAACAAAGAGAAGCTCTCATTAGCACACATCTGTGGCCTGGCCCCGCCTGGAGGAAGGAAGAGCTAGGCCGGGGGAGGAGAGAGGCTTCTGTGTGTGCCAGGCTGAGATCATCTGCCTTCCAGCATGTAGGAGTGAAGCAGCTTAAAAACTGAATTTCAGGCACTACCAGGAGAGAAGGAGCCAAGAGAATGGACCTTAGCCAGGAACTTCAGGGCCAAAAAAAAAAAAAAGGAGGAATTTCTCACCATTGAGATACCAATGATAGCATCTACAATTAAAACACCGCTGACAATAAAGAAACTACTCCAGAACTAAATCTGCCCCTCAACCAAATGACTCCTCTCCTATGAATCTAAGAAATGCTCACGTTTCCTTTCTTGTGGGCAGAGAAGGAGAGGAAGAGGGAGGAAGAGAGAGACAGACTGATCTGGGCAGATTTTCTGGCTGAATCTCATTAAGAACAGGGTCATTGTCTGGTTTATAGATACAGCTGACCCTTGAACAAGAGTTTAAACTGTGAGCATCCACTTATGTGGTTATTTTTCCAAGGAATATTGTAGTACCAATATTTTCATTTCACAGATCTTTATATTAACTAGAAGTATGGGGGAAAGTTTGTGTTAGTTTAGAGATCACAATTTGTGGAATCAAAAGAACTAGGGTTTGAGTCCTGAGTCTCTTCAAACTGTTTCAGCTTCCTGCCCTTGTCATTTATCAATTCTTTTGTTTTTGAGGCAGAAATAGCAGAAAAATCCACTTCTTAAGGGGTGAGCACCCCTAATCCCCCATGTTGTTCACAGGTTAACTGTATTTCAGTTTCAGATGCCTACAACCCAAACAGTCAGGAATTAACTCCTTGACACCTAATGGAGGTAAGGGGATGATGCCAATGTTATTAAGTTTCTTATTACCCAAAATGTTCCAGGGACCCCAGGGTGGCACAACCCTGACCTCTAGGAATGCAGAGTCTAAGTGTGCCCTGTCTCCATCATAGAGACTATAAGGAAAATATATGAAAGGAATCAATAAAGACACCAGTGCCTACACAATTAGCTTTTAGTGGGGGGAGATGGGGTCCCCTTTATTATACCTTTTTAAAAATTTCTGATAGGTACATTATAAAAAAGGGTATTCTACAATTCTTTCTGTTTAACTCACTATTTCAGAAAGGTTTTCTTGGGGAAAAAAGTGGGAAGGGGATTGGGGAAAATCCTGAAGTCACAAACTTTCACACACAGGAAAATAAATAAATCAGTTAACAGCAAGAGTTAATCTAAATCAGTAAACCAAGCTCCTAAAACAACGCTATCCATGCAAGTCAGCAGCACTTGAGTTAATATGAAGTAATGAAATAATGAGGGCTCGATGCAATCTCCTTCAGATGCCTGTGCACATCAAACAGGACTGATACCTGTGAAACAATACAAGAAGGGATATTTTATTTAGATATACTAATATAAGGAAATAGCCATTTAAAAATAAGCAAACATGTACACATATGAATCAAATCCAAAATGTGACAAAGTATGGTTAAGATGCTGAAAAGATAAGTGTATATTATATCTATATACCAAGTATATAGATATATATACAAGTAGATATGTGTGTGTATATATATACATATATATATATGTATGTCAAAGCACAGACACTGGACATCAGATACATAAAATGAGGGAGGGGAGTGTTCTTAACATATGTGAAATCTGGAATGATATACAAGTATATAAACAGGGAGATTTTCCTAGTTTTGTATGCACCAAATGCATACAATTTGGTGATGAAACAAAAGCAATCAAGAAAACACGATTTAATGGCACTGCTCTGGTTCTCCACTGATCCATTTTTCTCCCTACAATTATAAGGAAGCACTTGCACAGAGCTCATCAAGTGTTCATTAGACATTCATTCAGCAGGATTGAGAGTCTACATCTTAAACATGGGCGATAGTCCAGCCTCCATCAAACACTATTAGGGCGTCATTAATCCAGCCTAATTCTAAATCCAAGTCTTGTTAGCATGCTAACACCAAGAAGCAAACATGATTTGCTGTCTCCAAGACAAAAGTCCCCGCACCACACCCACCAGGAAGATCAACGGACAAATCCTCCGTGCATCACGGCATTACACTCAGCCTCGAGAAAGAACGGCATGCGTGCACGCACTGACCTTGAAGTCTGACCCTGCAGCAAGTGCCTGGAAAACTGACTCAGCAAAGCCCAAAACAGGCAGGAGCCTTCTCTGCCTCTCCCAGGTAGGGTGGAAGCTGGGACCTTGAACAGGGGACTACACACTTTCCAATGACCTTGAGCCTGTTTACATCTTTAAAGTGACACGTGAAGATGCTCTAAAATCATTTAGGGCAGCAACTTTTCTCACCTGAGCCTTCACTGGCAGACCCTGGATTTCACCTTCTAGTTCTAGATTTTTATTGACAATTCCCTAAACCTTTATCTCCTTGGGATTTCAAGCCATCCTTGTTCTCTTTCGAGTTTTCTCCTTCCTTTCTCACAGACATATTTTTTATCCTTTGAGGTTCATAAGCAATCTTTAATAGAATGGCTCATCTCTTTGTCATCATTTGCACCCCTTCCCATATTCATTCAGTGCCTGTTTAACAGTAATAACCAAAGCAGCCAACCTTACTGAGCAATTACTAAACACAAGCCAGGTACTATCCTAAACTCTCTAAGTGGGTCAATTCACTCATTCCTCACAGCAACACTGTAAAGCAGATGCGGAGGAAAAAAACTCTGAAACACAGAGAAGTTAATTAACCAATCTAAATTCACCCAGTAATAACAGGGGTAGGATATGAACCCAGGCAATACAGTTATACAGCCTATATTCCTAACCCACTTGACTATTCTTTATAAATTGTATGATTCTCGTGAGCATCAGAATATACGCCAAGTTAAAAATCACAACTGAGAACGGCAGGGCAGCAGCCGCCTCTATGTGAAAGGTCTATAACTACATTATTCTGGATATGGTGCTTTCATCAATCTATGAGAGCAGAAATGGCAAGGTCAGCAGGCGTACACGCCTGCTTTCTGTTTAGATCTCCAGCCCGGGGAAGGGTAAATGGAAGGCAAAGGCAGGCTCACTGGCAGGCACGCAGTCCCGGGAACGAAGAAAGGCCTGGGAGGGGAAAACACAAAGCTTTCTGGGGGGAGAGAATGGGTTAGACTTTCGTCCCCAGAGAGGTTGTGCCTCCTATCCTAAGCAGGATCCTTGGGAAGAGATGTATTCCCTGTCAGAAGTACCCTGGGTGGACTGTAAAATTCCACTTCCTGAGAAGCATCCTCCTATTTACTCTTATCTTTGGGAAAGGAGACTTTGAAAGCTATCCACTATTATCTTTCATCAAAAAAATGAAGATTAAACAAGTTCCCTCAATTCTTGTTATTATGCTGTCATGACACCTGAAATCCAGTTTGTTCCCTCGTGCATGCTCAGTTGCTTCAGTTGTGTCCGACTCTTTGCAACCCATGGACTGCAGCCCATCAGGTTCCCATGTCTCTGGGATTCTCCAGACAAGAATATGGCAGTGGATTGCCATTTCCTACTACAGGGGATCTTCCCGACCCATGGATTGAACTTGACTCTCTTATGTCTCCTGAATTGGCAGGCAGGTTCTTTACCACTAGTGCCACCTTTCCTCCATCCCTATAATAAAGAAATGCCTTTTCAAGTGCATAGTTTATACCTTGGTTCGATATCTGGGTAGGGAAGATTCCCTGGAGAAGGAAATGGTAATCTGCTCCAGTACTCTCGCCTGGGAAATCCCATGGACAGAGAAGCCTGGAGGGCTACAGTCCATGGGGTGGCAAAGAGTAGGACATGACTTAATGACTGAGTACACACATATACCTGTAGAAATGACAAACTGTCTCTTACTCTGGAGGGCTAGGGATTTGGAAAAAGATGCTAGCAGAGGATGAGCAAACTGAACAGAATTCACTGGACAAGTGAAAGTGACAGTGAAGATCACTCAGTCGTGTCCAACTGTTTGCGACCCCATGGACTATACAGTCCATGGAATTCTCCAGGCCAGAATACTGGAGTGGGTAGCCTTTTCTGACTTCAGGGGATCTTCCCAACCCAGGGATCGAACCCAGGTCTCCCACATTGCAGGGGGATTCTTTACCAGCTGAGCCACAAGGGAAGTTGGACAAGATGTGTACACTAAAATCTGGGTCTGGAACTGGCAACATAGTCATCAAGGCTACATCAATCCTGCTACACACACACACACACACACACAGCTATATACATACTCCTGACACTATGGTAGACAGGGCAAAGTGCTCATTAGAATTCCAACTTGGTGACATCTCTTAGGCTGGCTACTGCCCTCATCCAGTGTTTCATTGGTTTCAAGTCAGGCCAATATCCCGGAGAAGGCAATGGCAACCCACTCCAGTACTCTTGCCTGGAAAATCCCACGGATGGAAGAGCCTGGTAGGCTGCAGTCCATGGGATCGCTAGGAGTCAGACACGGCTGAGCGACTTCACTTTCACTTTTCACTTTCATGCACTGGAGAAGGAAATGGCAACTCACTCCAGTGTTCTTGCCTGGAGAATCCCAGGGATGGGGGAGCCTGGTGGGCTGCCATCTATGGGGTCTCACAGAGTCGGACATGACTAAAGCGACTTAGCAGCAGCAGCAGCAGCAGGCCAATATCCACACTTAGATGTGTGTTAACATGAGTATACTTTTGCTGTTAGCGCTTAGGAATTATGAATTATTAACACTCCAATGACTTTGAACAACTTTTTAGATTCTTTCAAATACTTCAATAGAATCCACACTATGTCTGCCTTCCATATAGGGAAACTGAACCTCTGAGAAGAGAATTAACTTTCCTAAAAACCACAACTACCTGTCTACTTTCCCTGCCTGATTATTTAGGATTTACTTGTCTTCAACTTAAAGCATGGCTGACTACAATCTGTTTATTTATCATGGGAACTTGATTTTTAATATGACCTTTAACCCAGTAATTCTATTGGAAGAACAGGAAACTCAGTGTTCTCATATATTTCTCCTCTCTGTCACCAGGGTCCTTGTAAGAGGACAGACAGGAAAACCCAGAAAGGTAGGAAATGGGTTGAAGGCTGACCATTCCCAATCAGTAGGCCTCCAGGTTGGATCTCTTATGACAAGGAAAGGATGAGTCTACACATGCAGAGAAGAGATTCTGGGATATTTTCTAAATTTAAAAAACTGAAAATATATTTTCATACATATTGACTCTCTTTTAATGACTTCCATGCCCTGACAAGGCAGAGATAAGTTGATATCTCAGCCAATTCTCTTTGAGCCAAATAGTTATAAATGAAAACTTTGGGATTTCCCTGCCCATCCAGTGGTTAAGGCCCTGTGCATCTAATGCAGGGGGTGCAGTTTTGATTCTTAGTCTAGGAAATAAAATCCCACCTGCCACATGGCAGGGCCAAGAACAAGAAAAGAAAAAAAACCAAAACTTCAAAGGGAATCACTCCCCTTGCTTTCTGATTTGTGCTATCTTTCAGGAGATTACTTTGGCCAAGAATTTCATTGTTTTTGTTTGAAGCTTCCATTATGTAGTTCTAACCCATCCAAAACACTTGCAGTTCATTGGTGGATGAAACCTCTAACTACCAAATCTTAGCAAGTTTATTAGAACAAGAGAGCTGGGTTCAGGAGACTGTTAATCAGAGTGGATATTAAATTATCTTTTTCTTTTACCCCACCATAATATTACAGTTGAAGTAGCTGGATGGGTATCTATAAAACAAACTGTGTAATTTGATTCAAATTTTTAAGCAGTAAAGCTTTAGATATGTATGAAACACAGTGAATGCCCAGAAAGCACAGTATTACGATTTCTCTCCCCAGATTCTTCCCACCACACTATCCCCACATCATATTTTACCTCTAAAGAATTATTCAGCTTTCAGTCATTTAGCTGAGCAGTCAATGAGGCAGGCAGGATAAGACCAATAATACCATGTGATGGTAATTGACATTGAGTGGCCTCTGCTAATGTGCTAGAAAAGGGTAAGAACGTAGTTGTTGAACCTCTGTCCTTAATGAGGCAGAGGGTGGTTTCGACAAGGAGACATGATCTGTTGGAAGCAAAAGGAATTTTCAGAGCAAAGCCTGGATGAGGTGAGAAATGAGGTTCTTAGCCAGTCCTTAGCCCCGCCTCATCAAAACTGAGCTCCAAAGGTTCCAAAGATGAGCACCCTCACAGTCAACTAAAGTCAAGCGATGAGACCGAGGTCATACAGTGAGTTAGTGAGAGTGCAGAAATGACAATTCATAGTGTTTCTAGTCCATTGCATGCTGCAGTGAACTATGGTCAAAGAAACTCTGCATTATAATAAAACCCCAGAACCCTTCTTCTTTGATCTCAAGGAGTTGAGCAAATTGTAACAGGCTCAGAATCTAAAAAATCAGTTTGAAACTTAAAATTGAATTGAAACACATAGCCCACAGTCACAGTATTGGTCACCAGAGTGAAATGTCCTCTGTGATCATACCTTCAGGCTAGCATTAATTAAAAAGAAAAGGAGGAAATGCATTACATGTACCTATGAGGCTAGCTATTATTGCTCATCCAGGTCATTCAATATTCATTCAAAAAACATGATTTGATCACTCACTACATACCATGCACTATGTCAGATACTGGAGACAGAATAACGAGTAAGATAGACAGACAGCCCTAAGATTCACAGAGATACAGTCTCAGTAGTTTTCAAATAAGCAACTATCTGCCAAATATAATCAGGTTCAATCTTGTAGTGCAGAGATTCCCAGTCTTTTTGGCACCAGGGACCAATTTTGTACAAGACAATTTTTCCACAGACCGAGAGTAGGAAAGATGGTTTGGGGATGACAAACGCATTTCATTTACTGTGTACTTTATTTCTAATCTAATGCCACCGCTGATCTGACAAGAGGTACCAGTAAACAGCCTGTAGGCTGGGGACCCCTGCTGTAGAAGGGGTCTTCTTCCCCCACTTACTTAGGAGCAACTTTTCCCACCCAAGTACTTAAAGAGAAACCAAAAGTGCAGTTGCTCTAAACTTCCACTACCAACTACTCGACATTTCCTGTGTGATCCCTAAAGAACAGTTGATGCATATTTTATCCCTATGGGGAATTTATGCCTGTTTTTACTAAATACCCCAAACATCTTCTTTAATTCATACAACAAACACCCTCTTCTCTTTCTAGTCCCTCCTTGAACAGCACTTTTCTCAAATCTCTGTTCCTGACTTCTGTTAAGACCCTGGAAGGTGACTATTAAGTGACACAGGGAATACTCAAAAGCCACTTCACCTGCTTATCATCTTTATTTTGCCCAGGGTAATCGCCCAATCTCTTGGTTCAATGTTCATGCTTTCTTATTTGGACCTGTCTTAACTTCTGCAGATAATCTTTCCAGTCCTGAGGGGGTATAAACAACTTGGAGATTTTCACAGTTCTGGTGTTTTGTAAAGCAAATTGTTTCAACAACATAGTTCCTCTTAGTTCATTTTTTTTCTTGCCCTTATCTCTAATATCTGGAAGGATTATTATGATATAAAGAAAGCTGAAAATAGACAGACCCCCAAATTTCCCTTGCTCCTGAATTTTGATTTTGTATCTAGGAAATCTCTTTCCTAAAAATACTTTATTCCTTTGTGGTTTCAACTTAAGAAAACTCTAAAAAAAAAAAAAAAAGAAAAGAAAACTCTACAGGTGACTGTAAAGGGACATAATGGAACAAGGTCAGCAGTTACCAGGGAGTAGTCTCAGTGATACGAAAATATAAGGAATACGACATAAACCCAAGGACAGAAACTCGCTCCATGTCAAGGAGCCCCAGACCCCAGGGCTCTAATCTGAGACAGCAGAGAACAACCGAGACGCCTTACTCCTCATCCTGCAGCGTCTCCTCCTCCTCCTGAATCTGGAACTGGTTCTTCACCGGAGCTAGGTTCTCGGTCTTGGCGTTGTAGTTCCGAAAGCAGACATTGAGCTTCTCATCAAATTCATTCACCAGGTCCTCCATGGACTTGAAGCTGATGATTTCAGAAGAAAAATTCTCCAGCTCAGACAGAGAGGGGTCCTCGAGATGGTGGGGAGATGAGCCGTAGAAACACCGGGGCTTCTCCTCGGGGTCTTCAGAGCAGCAGGGCCGAAGGTCCTCAAATTCTTCATCCAAACTCACCAGTGGGGCCTCCATCCTTGCGCAGCAATCAGAAAACTGCAATGATCAGGATTCGTATATCTGGAAGAAATAGACACGGTAATGTGAGTTTGGACTGGGCTTTTATGCCAGCTCTGTTGAGGAGCCACAATCACTTATTACATAATCGCTCATTACTCTCAGCCCCTAAAAACAAACATCCTGCTTTACTGGCTCCATTGTCTGTGCTTCCTCACTATTATACCCTTAAGGAGTTCGAATGTCATTATCAGTGTGAATAATGCTAACTTAATAAGCATGCATTTTGGAGACACACCTGCTTCCCATTCCCTGCCCCCGAAAACAAAGCCTAACCTTAACAAAGGTTAGGGATGCAGCCCCCCTAGACCAGACTGCCTAGGTGTGCATCTGCTCCACTCCTTAGCTCCTGCCCAGCTGTGATTGTAGCAGTAGTTTAACTTCTCTGTGCTCCTCTTTTATTCTCCTTAAGACAGAAATAACAGCAGGACCTACCTCAAAGGGCTGTCCTAAAGGTTAAAGGAGTAAATACAGGTAAGTGCCTAGAACAGTGCCTGGGAGATAATAAATGTTGATGTTGTTCAATTTATGTTCTTTGTATTATGATGGTGATGATTAACAAAAGTCTACATCTCAAAACTGGGAGCTTTGTGGGACTTCCCTGCTGGTCCAGCGGCTAAGACTAGATCCCACAAGCCGGAACTAAGAGTTTGCGTGCTGCAACTAAAGATCCTGCATGCTGCAACTAAGACCCGACACAGCCAAATAAACAATTATTTAAAATTTTAATAATTGAAAAGGAACTTCCCTGGTGGCCCAGTAGTTGGGACCCCACACTTCCAATGCAGGGGGAATGGGTTTGATTCCTGCTCAGGGAACTAAGATCCCACATGTGGTACCGCAGAGCCAAAACAAATAACCTGGAAGCTTTTCATGACTTATTCGGTGGCAAAATCTGCCATGACCTAAACTCATTTGGCAACTAAACCTGATCTACATGCTTATAGAGCTGTTTATGGTTTTAATGTATCCCATTTAGTGTGTTTTGCTGCAGAAATTTTAATTTTTTTTTTTTAATTATAGAGATGGCTGCCCCAGCCCCCAGGGGATGATATGCAGAATATGCGCTCCATTACTGCGTTCCAAAACCTGAGATCATCTAAACTCTGAAACACGCCTGGCCCCAAGGGTTTTGGACAGGGCTCATGGACCTGGATATTACTACTCTCATCAATAAATGGTGGACTAATAGAGCACTAATACAGATTTTCATACAAGCACCTGAGTGTTTTCCAGACACACAGCTTATGTCTGGAACTAGAAGAGTGGATTAGTGACCTGTAAGAGACAGACCCATCTACCCATGTCCTCCAACGCCAGACTCCACAGCCGCCTGGGGCACTGCACCCCAGAAAGCTGTACATTCAGGCCTCCTTTCATTTCCCAATAGCTCCGAGCCTTCAGCTGTGATTTACCCATCTGTATGTATATAACCAAGCCCTTCCCCAATTTTAATTTAAATTCCTCGAGGACACGGACATCCTCTGGATATCCTCCACGGTTTCTAGCACACACGGCCTGCGGCGAGGCAATCAATCAATGTGTGCTCACTGACAAATGATCCTCCATCCCCCTCACATAGTTTTCATTTTCCACTGCAGGCAGCCAGCACAAGCTTATTGTCTATCATGCCCTTCTCTACCTAGTCCGTTTCCTTCCCTGGAACACAGCAAGGCAACCAACTTCTATCTCTTATCTGTGTGATGACTGATCCAGTCAGATGCTTAAATTGGAACCACTACCCAAGGAGAAGCAAACAGAGCAAAAACCATCCTCCACCCCTACCTTTAAAACTAAAATCTACATAAGCAAGGCAGGTGGCATGCCAGGTAAGGACTTAAGACAGTTCTTCCTGGGATTTTACTGAGATTGAGTCAGTTACCACCACATCTCATCAAAACCCATTCTGAGTATTTATAGTTTGCAAAGGCAATGTAATAAGACCTCAAAATACAAAAAGATACAGCAGCAGCATGACAGCTTAGAAAGAACACAGCGTCAAGAGTCAACAGACCTGCCAATGCCTGAGTGAGTGAGAAGTACTGTGGGTCTTGACTTCCTCAACTGTTAAAAAGAAAGTGTTAAAAAAAAGTTGGTATAGAGCTAATACTTTTGGAAGTCACTTTTAATACATATTAACATAATTAATAATTTAACTGTATATTTTAATAATATAGTTTAATATATCTAAAATATTACCATTTCAATATCTAATCCAAATGTATAAATATTAATGAGACATTTGACACTCTTTTTTCATACTGTCTTCAAAATATAGTGTATATTTTACATTCACATTATGTCTCCATTTGGACCAGTCAAATTTCAAGTGTCCAACAGCCACGTATGGCTAGTGGCTACCATATTGGACACCCCAACTATTAAAAAATATACAACTAATTGCCAGTTAGAGGCACCTCACCGATGGTCAACAGACTCCTGAGGGATTTTTGAATACACCATATTTCATTTTTTGCATTTAAAAGCATATTTCAGGGAATTCTCTGGTGGTCCAGTGGTGAAGACTGTGAGTTTCCACTACTGGGGGCACAGGTTTGATCCCTGGTTGGGGCACTAAGGTTCCACATGCTGCTCAATGTTGCTAAAAAAAAAAAAAAGAGATAAAATCATATTCAGAGAAAGATCCCAAAGGGTTCCTCTAAATTGCTAAAGTGGCTCATCACACAAAAAAGATTAGGAATCCCTGAGTGCCAAAAGAGTGAGTTTAGAAAAGATCACTCAGTGTGACAGAAATTAAGGAAAGGTTTACAGATGAGAAATTTGTGTTGAGAGAGGAAGGACTCTGATGATTAAGTACCTGGACTCCAGGTTCCCATCCTGGTCCTATCACTTCCCAACTTTGAGACTCTGGGCAAATTATAAACCTCTTTGACTTTATTTCCTCATCTATAAAACAGGGTTTAAAATAGTACTTATATTGGAGGTTGCTTTGTGCAGTAAATGAGACAATCTTTGAAGTGTTAAGCACAATGTATGGAATACATGAAGTGTCCCAAAATGTCAATAATATTAGGAAAGCAAAGATAGTTACATGAAAATGTGAGGTGACAGTGCTTCAAGTAAAAGAAAAGCTATCCTTGCCAAAATATTTCCTGTGTGATGCTTCAGAATGCTTATCAAAAGAGAGAACTATCATTGAATGAATGTTATCATGCTTTTTACTAAGGCACTCCTGCTATTTTCAATTCATGTGGTCAAAGCCTCTCAGATCACTGGTTCCATTTCAGCAAGACATGAAAGCTACCTAGCTGGTATTCCAAATATTCACTCTTCCTTTAAATCTGTATTCTTTCTGGAGGGGACAAGGGAGCTGGCATGAGAAGGTATACCAAGGAGGATGTTGACTGCAAACAACAGAATCTATCCCATCAACCGGTAACAAGAGGGCAACCCAATCGGAATCTAAGACTATGATTGAGTTTTGAGTGATGGCAACAAGGAAGATTATTCTGAAAGCACCTGTCCTCAGCACAGGCTCTAGAGAAAATGGATTCACCTAGAAGATTATAAAAGAAGAAATGGATATCACCACTCACTCCGGAGTTCAGAAACATGATCACTGGAAAACTCACAATATAGCCTGATTTCTTTTCATCAACTCACTCCCTCCCCAAACACCGAGAAGGTCTGCATGATTGACCAGCTGCGGATGAAGCTAAAACTGAAAGCTCTTGACAACCAAACTGAGCCCAGATTTTGTAGAAAGAGCCCAGGCTGTGGCAGAGGAGGTGAGAGGCAAGCATCTGGCCCACCTCAGCTTCAAGGAGGGCTCCCTGAATTGGGGCTGGCCGTCCTTCTCAAACGGTGCCCCTTCTCTCCTCCTTTTCCGCTTCTCTCTTAGTGGGGGGCCTCTGCCCCCAAATGAGATGTCCTACTCTTGTATCTTGGCAAGCTCATGCCTGTCTTCAACCACAGCTCATTTCAGAAGCTCCCTTCCCTTAGAGCTGGGGTGAATTCAATTGAGAGTTTATCCTCCTCCTCCGTACTTCCAGAATCAACTTGAAGAAAAATAAAAATGAAGAATAGCGGGAAAAAAGGAATCACAGGAGGGTGGTCTTGTCTTTTTCTCTTTATCATAGAACGAGAGTGCAGGACTACAGTTTGCTTATGTCCTATTCCGTTTATTTTGGCTTCCAAGAGACGGTGTAATTTGGAAAAGAAAGGACCGCACTGAGCATAACGGAGACCCAGTAGGAAACACAGAAGCCTTTCGCGTGCGGCACAATGATACACGGTCGCCGCAGCTCAGGCTGCGGGTACCCGTTTCCCAGTGCCTGCTCTGCCGAGCTGAGCAGCAAAGAATTCACCATGCCTCCCCCTGCCGGGCCTCTGCATCTCCACACAGGCCCCACTCCATCCCCGCCTCTTCCCACTACTTGCCCCAGAGATCAGATGATTCTATATGCCCACCGCCCTCCAAACCATCCCCAAAGCTGACCGTCCACTGACCCACCTTCGGTTTCCCACTGCTCCTCAGCAAAACCCAGTGCCAAGCCGCACCTTCGGACGGAGAGTATTTCACCGCATAGAAGTCAGCAACCTCTTTGTAGTTCCTGCTTCCCCCCCCTTCTCCCTCCTGCTGCTCCATCCACCCTCATCCCACATCCCCTCCCCCAGGCTGCTGGGGTAAAGAAAGGCCCCTCCAAGCAGCACAAAGCCTGGCGCTCCGAGGAAGCCGGGCTCACCCGCGCAGGCCGCACGCATACTCCACGGCCACGGCCCTTTCGGCCCAACCAGACCCGGACGCGGGGGACGGGGCGTGGAAGGGGGTTCAGGAGGTGGTGTCGCGGCGAGGAGGGAAGGGACGGGCAAGACAGGAGAAGAGAGGGCGGTGACAGGCCCCCGGGGGGCTCTGTCGGATACTCCCCCAACCCCCAGAGGCCCTGGGCCCACAGGAGCGCAGTGCACCCCCACTAGCATCACACTCGTCCTTTCCC